ACTTTGTGATCCTTACCTCTGATCATAAAGAACATCTATATAAAATTAAGGATTTATCATCATTTAGTCACACTGGCGAGTACCTTTGTGAACAAATTAAATGTATCTTTGAAGAAGTTGGAATCAATAAATTTGTAGCCATTGTGTCTGATGGTGGAGCAAATGTTAAAAAAGCAAGGGAAATGATTCATGATGATTTTCCATTCATACTGAATATTCGATGCGTTGCTCATTGCTTGAACCTGATCACAAAAGATATTGTGGCACACAATTTCCCAAAAAAAATAATTAACTATTGCAAAGTTTTAACAAGTTTTTTTAAAACATCTCACCGTCCTGGAGAGTTACTGAATCAACTAATTAAAGAAAAAGGCATCGAAGGTGGTGGTCTAAAAACTTTGGTAAAGACAAGATGGATCACCACATATGAATGTTTAGCATCGATTTTACGTTTAAAACCTTGCTTTGAAGAGGTAGTTAATATTTTATTTTTAAAAAAATTTTTATAAGGAATAGTTAAATTAAATATAATTTAATTAATTATATTTACCTTGTAAAGATAATTTTGAATCATCGTGATATTATCAGTAATAATTCAGTAAAAGTGATACTACGAAGAAGAGGGTTCTATGAAGATATACATGACATAATTATGGTGGTAAAGCCAGTAAAAGAACTCATAATAAAGCTTGAAAGCAGAACTGCGAATCTAGGTGAATGTTACTTTAGTTTGGTCAAACTTGCAGCTTCTGTAAATAAGCTTTCACTTGAACACCATCAAAATTTTCGTAATCACTGTATTAATAATTTAAACAAAAGATTTTTGGAGTTTGATTTTGATGAGTATTTATTGTCCTATTTTTTACATCCAGGTTTCAGAGGTAAATAAATAAAATAAATAAAAATTAAGAAATGATTGATTATTTTTATATTTATCTCTTTATCTCTTACTTATCTTTCTGAAAACAGGCACTGGTATTAAATTTGGAGAATTTCATCGTGTTGCTAAAATTGCTGCAAATATTTGGGATCATATTTATTCACAAAAATCACATACAAAAGATATGACTTTGAATCAAAGTTCAAAGAAAAAAATTAAATTGGGAATAAAAGAAAAAATTCCTTCAAAGTTGGAAACTGGTAAAGCTTTAATGAGTCAATTGATAAACTATAAAGGAAATCAGGATCCTTATAACATTCCATATGATCCAAGTCTAATGACTCCTTATAGTTGGTGGTCATGTATTGAAATAAAACCTAATTATATTCAACAATTGGCTAAAAAATTGTTTGCTATTACACCACACGCAGCTTCTTGTGAAAGGATTTGGTCGACTTGTGGATGGCTATATGGAAAAAAAAGGTGCAATTTAAGTACTGAGCGTGTTGAAGCATTAGCCAAAATTCATGGTTATTATGTCTCAAATTGCAAGGAAGAATT